ATAGTGTAGTGCAGAACTTTGGAGAACTGAAGGTGTGTTCAAAAAGTAGTTGACAAGTGTGCGGGTAGAGACTTTAATGAGACACTTGATATCTTGACTTACTACTTACGGTGTTTGATATCATCATCCCATTTACTTAAAATGGACCCAAAAACAGCGTTCTACAGTGGATTTATGTTGTCTGAACTTTCATACAAATGCAAGGTGTTTAGAGATATAGTCCAACTGATACTACGAAGTGTCTCTCCATGTTTAAATTAAGTCTATGTGAAAAACGAGGGAAATGATTATAAGATAGTGATGGGGTATTTGAGTGACGAGAACGGGTTACAGTATATCGAGCGGATTGAGAAGATATTTAGAATATACTTGTGCTTCATGACGAGCAAAGCGGGGAGGTCTTTTAACTTAACAATACATTTTTCAAAGTTAAAAATTTTAAAAAATATACATTTTTCATTTTTCAATTATTATAATTTGCACCCAAAATACCACAAGTGTTTATTAATCGAACAGTATCGTTTTGTAATTATGTGATATATTCAATTGAATGTTTTTCTAAGAATTAAGAGTAGTGTTATAAACTAAAAAAAACTCGCAGTTTCGGGGTGAAATTTTTAATAACAGAAAAACGAAATAGTTTTTTAATTTTTGTTATTATCTTGGAAAACTAAAAGCAAAGTAGATTGAAATTAGTTATTTATAACATATCATAACACATTGTTAAATCTATTTAATATACAATGAGGAAAGATTAGTATAAAATATAATGTGAATTATTTTTAATCTTTATTATATATTATATAACATGAATTATATTTACAAATATAAACATATACATTTTAATATATCACATTTGGTTTTAGTCAATTTTTGAATGATAATATTTTGAGTATATTTAAGTTAATAAAAATAAAAAAATAATCCTGTGTTTTCATAACAAAACAATTATTATTACAATAATTGTATTAACACAAATATATTATTAAATTGAATTACACCACGAATATAACCACCAAACATAATAGTGTGATCACCTTTTTAATTCCACTCCTTAAGTTATTATTTAATTCTCTAATACATCTACCAGCTGTTGTACACACAAAACCTTCTCTACAGAATCCACAAGCTGGCCGACAGTGTTCACTCCACATGCTGGTTCCTTGTGGATATGAATCGTTTGTGATTTGGCATTCTGTTCCATAACAATCAAAAGAAGTTGAGTCGCAAATGTACTGATTGTTTGCAAGACTTGATCTGAACAAAGTGATATTTTGTAATCGAATGTAGGTATTTTTAGTAATTAAAAACTTGATTGAACCTCCATTTGAAAATTCTTTTTTATCTGGTTTGAAATAAGCCGTGATCGACACCTTTTTGTCCGTTTTGTAGTATTTTGTCTTCAAGTCTTTATCAACAAATTCAAAAGATGTATTCGTGAATTCAACAAAGTCCGTTTTGTACACCAAGTCTGCCAAAATCAATTCAAAATCTGTTGTGTCTTCCATTTCCATATCAAATTGCACATGAGTGAAGTCTTGGTCGAGCATCATTTCAGTGATATAGACATATCCAATGGAGATAAATCCTTTCCCATTTATTATATCAGTTGGTTCAAATATTATTCCACCTGGAGTCTTTTCCATTTGAACAAGATTAATGGCATAATCTGGCAGTAAAATGTGCCACTTTAAGAAATAGACAGACTCATTTTTCTCATCCGGGGAATACACGTCATTGTTAACAACATAATAGCAGTTCCCGCCTTTATCTGATGGGAATCTTGAGTCGAATTCAAATGAATCTGCTTGATTTAAATTGATTTCATTGATCTCAAGTCTGTTGTTATAAAACGAATTTGCTCTTACAGTGTAATTTCCTTCATAATTTGGTACTTCAAATTTTCCATCTTTATTTGAGAAAATGAATTCGTCAATTGTTTCAGAATAGATTCTAATTTGAAACATAATTTGGTTGCAGTTAATGATTGCTATAATATTTGAATTCTTTTTCCTTTCAACAACAACGAGAGTTGGGTTCATACCCAAATCCAAGTACACGTGTTTAAAGGTGAATTGACAGGCATAATTGTTTTTAGCTTTGGTTTTGGGAGAGAGTTGGTTGTATATTCTGGAGTTGACAGATATGTATTTACCTTCAAGAGATTCAGTCACACCTTCTTTATACACATTCATATAACCGGCGATCATACAATAAACCTGTTTTTGATAGGCGCCAACTAATTGTAAATACTCTCCACACCGATTGATAGTATGATTATCTTTTGTCACATACATAAAATTCTCGTTGACATAACATAAGGCTTGGTTGTTAATGCCTTGAACTTTCATTGGATCGGGTAGGTCTGAGTAACAGTCAAACTGTTTGACAACTGGTGTTTGGTCATCTTCATAATTGAAGGCAAGAAAGTCGTTCATACATATTGACTTTTCTTCATTTGAAATAACAGAAACTATCAATAATAAAGGGATTCATGAGGATTGTTAATTTTTCTGAGGATGGTAAATATCTTAAACATAATTTCTTTCAATTTAGATTTTTTTGCCTAAGATCAAAAAGGTATATTTTGAAACACATGATTTTCTTTAAAAATGCTATTTATGGATTTTTTGAAAGATGATTCTTTCAGTTGATTTTTACAAAAAGATAATCTATTTCTATTTTCTGATTTACCACTAGACTAACCTTGGTTTAAATGAAAACAATAAAAATTAATTTAATTTATCGAAAAGGTCAATTTTTTTATCGAAAACACAAAACAAATTAATCTAACAATTTTTAATCTTTTTCACAAAAAATACAATTTATTATAAATCAATTCATGATATTTCAAACAATAAAAAATGATAGCAAATAACGTACTGATAATTAATACTTTATGCGATGACAATTTATGTATTTGCGTAAATTCAAAAAGAGAGGTTTTGGATATCGATAAAACAACGATTGATAAATAAACAAATTTGTGAAATTGTTTTTTTTATTTTAAACGGTTTTATTTATTTTTCAAAACATATACACACAAGAAATATATGTTTACATTATTATTTATAATACAATATTAATTCTCAATAATTAATTTTATATATTATTTGGCGTTTTTGTTGTGTTTTGACGATTAATTGACATAATCAATTAACAAAACTCACTTTATAAATAATCTTTGAAAATATAATGTTATTTATAGATTTTTAAATCAATAGTGGCAGTGCTATACATATCTCTGAGGATGGTAAGTAGTGTAACAAACAAACATTGTCAACACAGACTTAAACATCTAAAAAGTGAAATGATGTGTTCCCATATTCAAAAATAGTAACTTACTCAATACACATTTCAGACAGATGTAAAAGTGTAAACTTTCTATTTCTGTCATCCTCAGAAAATAATTGCCATCCTCAGAACTGTAAATCTGTTTAAAACACAAGTTAATATCAAAATGAAACAATCATATTAAAATATACACAATATGATTAACTTTGTTTTTATAATAAATTTGAATAATTGCATAAATTACAAAAATATTTATGAATTTGTTATTCTAAAATCACATTTTTAGAAAATCAGTGTTTTCGACTTTTTCAATTTTCATTTTGAAAAAAAAACAATTATCAATTTAAATGTAAATTTCAATCGTTTTGTTATAAAGACGGATTCGAAAATAATTTCAATAAGTATATAATCATAATATTAACAAGTTTAATTCACGTTTTGTTATTTCCCGTCTCAAGTAAGCGAGTTATAATTATTGTTTATGTTTATAAATTATCGTAACGATTTTTTGATTGTATTTATTTTTTTGGCATTTATGACAAATTATTACCATTATTTAAAATTTGAACTTTGACTCGAAATATTAAGTGTAAATTATAACTTGAGTTATGAAAGTGGGCCTTATGGGGAACTGAACCTTATGGATTTTATTTTTGTATCCTAAGAAAAATATTTTTTAATAAGGATAACTTTGATCCTGAGGATACACCTTATCCTCAAGAAACCCTTAAGACTATCATCTGTTAAAGACAGTTTGTGGTGATTTAAATAAAGAGAAAACAAGTATAAAAATTTGAAAAACCGAAATGGTTTTCGCGTATTTATAAAAAATGAGAAAAAAACTAGAGTAAAGTATTTTCTTTTTAAATCATCATTGTCTTGTATTTGGATTATTATCAATAAAAGCAAAAAATATGATTTGTCACTCACATTTAAAAAAATTGTTGTGGAATTATTTATAAAATTATCAAAAACATTAAAAAATAAACATTTTGATGTAATTCAAACTTTAATAAATATTGTAAATAAAATACTATTTTATAGTTTCAAAATTATTAATTGTTTTACGTTTTTTTGTATTTGTAATCATATAAACCTTGTTGAAATGTAATATATTTATTTACTGTATGGTCACTTTACTTGATTTAAAACTTTGCATTATGCCTGATTATTGTAGTTAATTTTAACAAAATAAATTATTATATAGTTTGATAATTTTTCATTAAAAACATAAAAAACTTTTTTTGGTTATTATTTATTAAAATAGTTTTTATAAACTAAAATTTATAAATAAAATTTTTGCATAAAGCAGAGTTTTACATAAAACCTAGTAACCCCACAATATTTTTTATTTTTTTGAAAATGAAGTTATTAAAATGTAATATGTTGAATTTTTGTTGCAATTTATAATTAATTTTGTATCAATTTTGTGAATAATTGGATATATTAATTGATTCATTTTTAATTATAATAATCTTGAAAAAAATATTCAAAATATCAAACGTTTTTATTTAAAAAGTTGCGAAAAATGATTTGATGCTTTATCTTCACATTTTTATATAAAAAATATCATTTCTTACAATATGAAGATTTTTGTGTTTCAATTATAAAGCAAATAAATCAAGAAGACTCGTTTATTAATTCATTAAACATATCAATTATTTTTTGATCTTATATCGTTAAATATATAAATTATTATTACAACATTTTTAATAAAAGAAAACCGACAAGTTTCAAAGGACAACTCAGTGGTTCTGTTTTATAACATTGCTTTTGTTTTATATGTAATTACAGTATGTGAGAATAGTATGTGAGAATGAGAAAACCCTGTGGATTCAACAAAAGTTACAATTGTGTAACTTTTATGTAATAAAATTATTATTTTTTTATTTCAAAAAATTCAAAAAGATCAAATAAAAAAATCACTTATTTACAGTTCATTTTCTCTTTCAATTTGTTTGGAAACCTACAAAGCAGCTTTCAGAGTGTGAACAGCCAGCCAGCACTTACCAACTAATTGACTCAGACCTCACGCTAAAGAATCCCAGGAATACTGGACAAATCAGCCATAGCAGCTAGACGATTCAAAGCAGGCAACGTTTAATTTAAGAGTTTTTGCGAGCAAGTTCTACAAGTTAATATCTCAATAACGAAAGAAAGTTTAACAAACGAATATTTTCTATTGGAAGGACTTATGATAGTTCAGACATATGTTGATTCAAACAGTGACCATTCTGACCTGTGATAGGAAACAGTAATGTGAACTGGGCGATACAACTGATTAAAAAGATAAAAATCAATCGATTAAATTCTCAACCCCATTTTTAGTTCTTTTTGAGATTTTTTTGGTCGTCTTTTTCTTCACAACTTTACATACAACATCCCGTTCTTTTCTTTTTAACGGCTTGCAAACAGACTGACACGAATAACCCTCAAAACACATGAAAGCTTTCGAACTGCAG